GCCGTAGCCTAGTGCATATAGTATGGCTTTCCATCCTTTGTGGTCTGGGTTTGAAAGCCCCCCGCTACATTTATTTCATTTATTCATTTTTTAAGCTGAAAAAGATGAACAATTTAAGGGTTGGGTCCCTCCACTATCATCAAGTTTTCACAACAGCCATCATACTTCAAAAATCAATCATTTTAGTCCATAATTTTTTCCTTGTTACTACTTTAATTTAATACTTTATATCAATAAAATCTAACCCCTAAATACCCAACTCCTAATGCAACCCCATAATAGCCACGAAAAGGCTTATTGGAAACGTATAGTTGTTTTGTTGGTAAAGGCAGATCGAACAGATATTCTAGGGCCCCGAGTACCGGCTTTCAAAGATCCAGGACTCTGTCGAACATAGCCTGGAAACAACCGTACTCTTCCAGTGCCTCGACGACTTGAACTTTCACCGAGCCCCATTCGAGACTGCCTAGCTTCAGGTCGTGTTTTGGGAAATCTATAATCGGGAACAGGAGTTTCTGAACTCATCTTTGCTTTCCTTTATGGGATGTAAACAATAATAACGGGATTTAAAGAGTGTTTAACTTAGACTTCATCTCTGTAACCAAAAGAAACTTAGACTTCAGCTCCTAAAAGGAAAATTCTACGACGTTCGACGAGTACGATGAGTATTATTAAATTAATTTATAAAAAATTAAAATTTTAAAAAGGTTCTACATATAATTCTAAATTAGTTAAAAATTTAAAGGTAAATTATTTAAATAAATGGTAAACTATATCAATGACCACCTAACTATTGTTTCTTTTCATTTTGACCACCATTTTTGAAATTTTGTCAACCAGGTCACTCAACCATTTAAATACATTCAATTAAGCCACTTGTCGTTATAATTTAACGGAGAAGCTGATGGTGACAGTTAAAATATTTGGTATAAATTACTTATATATTCTATCAATTTGGTCTTAATTTGAATAAATTAAAATAAACTTAACCCTCAAATCAAATGGTGTCTCACTGGAATTTACCATCAATGTTAAACTTCTTTGATTCCATTTGTGTGCCTAATTAAAATATGTAACTTATATTAATTTTAGAATCTAAAATTGTTTCAGTAAATTTATTCAAAATATTATAAAACAATTAATAGGAAATATAACTTGAATTAGTTATATTTGTAGGAATCATGGAACTTTGCTATCATATCCCTGGACTTTTTTTCATAACAGTAATTTCAATTGAATTAAAGTAAATTTTAAAATATTAAATTAAGTTTGGAAACGTGTAAATCAATTAAACGAATAAATGAAATATCAAAATGATATAAATGAAGTAATAATCTAGTGCAAATTTTTGTTATCGGAAAACATTAATTATATGTATAATAATTTTGGTTGATTGAGGATTTTTTTCAGTGATGTTATTATTGTGGTGGTCATTTTTAATTTATGATATGGTACCGACCAAACTTTAGAAGATGTCATTTGATTTGAGCGTTAAGTTTATTTTAATTTATTAAAATTAATACTAAATTGATAGAATATATAAGTAATAGCGACCAAATGTGGAATTATACCAAATATTTTAACTGCCGCATCAACTTCTCTGTTAAATAGTAACAGAAAATGTCTTAATTGAATGCATTTAAATAGTTGAGTGATCTGATTGAAAAAATTCAAAAATGGTGGTCAAAATAAAAATGGACAATAGCTAGGTGGTTATTGATAAAATTTACCCTTTATTTTAAATAATTTACCTTTAAATTTTTAATTAATTTTTAATTAATTTATAATTATATGTTGAGTTGTTTAGAAATTAAAATTTTATAAATTAAATTAATAATAATCATTATTAGTAGTACTCATCATTATATGTCGAGCAAGGAAGAATCATCCGTCCTAAAAATCATTGACTTGGATTTATAATTTTTTAATAACAAATTCGAGAGACCGACCTCCATGAATTGGATTTATAAAAAAAATTAATAACAAATCCAACATACCGACTTACCTGATTTGGATTTTATATGATTATATCTTGGAATTACATCAATTTAACCATCTGCGTCTAAGTTGTAAATTAATTAATCAAAGATAAGATTCCTCCTCCTCATGTAAAATAAATAAATAGATTTGGGTGATTTTTCAAATCTCAGGCTACCATATAAATAAATAAAAATATAACATTAAAAATATAATAAGTTATTAATTAAAATGTGCATTTGGTCCAGGTAAGGATGGACATGAATCGTGTTGAGTCAAGTTTCGACTAATCTAACTTGATTCAAAAAAAATATACCTTCCACTCGAAATTTGATTTATGTTTAGGTGACTTCATCCGATCCATCTTTTTGAGATAAAACCTGAACCCAACTGATCCGACACATATATATTTATAAAATATAATTTTATTCGCTAAAATAGATATCTGAAAAATAATGTATATAGGGGTATTAATGAAATTATATATATATTAATTTTCAGGTCGGATCGTGTTGAGTATTTTTCAACCTAATTCCAAACCAGTCTTGACCCGAGTTTACTAAGAGTGCCCCTACGCTATCTCTAGTCATGGGACTTGATATATAAAAATGCCACGACAATACCTCTCAGTATGAAAAGTAACATCGAACCTATCAAATGAGTGCTACTCCTTTTAGTCGTTAAAATCTTATCCTTATCTCTAAGGTGGATTAGGTCTCAGTTAGCAGCTAAGACTCATTGCTCACGTAGATCTTCCCTTAGTTTTTCTTGAACACTAAGGATCTATAACGTAGTTTCTCTCGAACACTAAGCAATCTACTTAAGAAATAGACACTCTCATGCCTCCTACAATCTTAAGTAATTAAGCACAATGAGCAAAACAAATAGATGAACATAAAAACTCAAAACATTCATTAAAACAAGTACTTAATCATTTGTACAAACCCACACCACATAAGGTTTAGTTCATGGTGGGGTTCGAAATATCCAACTGAATAAATTGTTCCATACAACCCAAGTAATTGAATGAAAATAAAAGCATACGTGCAGAGAAAACTCTCAACGCGCACTGCCGATTGGTCCTCAGACTACCATGAACGACACCTTAGCGTACTAGCTCCTCACGGACGTCTAGCTCGCCACTCCCTCGAGCTTGGCTATGGAGGAAACCCTTAAAAAATGAAAGGAATAAAAATAGAGAATAAAAGAGTTCATTGTTTTGATTTTTGTTGCCACTCTCTTGTCCTCTTCTCTTGTATCTTATTTATATTCAAAAACAAAAGACTCTCCAACTTTCAAGAAGCTCTTAAATTCAAATCTAACTTCTAAGAGACTCTTAAATTCTCATCAATTCAAAAAAACTCCCAAGAAGCTAATAAATTACCCAATAACTCTCTAACTCCCAAGCTCATAATTAATAATGGAATATCCTTATCTCTTAAAAATGATATATTCCCTTCACATGTGTAGGCTATACGGGCTAGTAGGTGAGATTCACGTATGGGCTGGACAACACTATAAAATATCTTCAGATTTCTGTCTTTTTCTGCACCCAAAAATGGCGTTCTCATGCTCAGTTATCTCAAATTACCTTGACAATTCTCCTTTACTTGCCATCTGAAATACTTCGACATTCCTCCATGTTCACCCTTTGCTTCATTGACATACACATAACCAGCAGAGCACAAACCTTCCCCATAAAATAATATCATTTAAACAATAATATGCCACGACAAAGTCAGACTACCAAATGCAGTTATATGCTCCTATATGCATTTAAATGGCCCTACATGCGCATTAAGACAACCCATAACTTAAGTGAAAATGCCTTAAATATAGCCTTTTTACTGAGTTATCAACCACCAAGCTTTAAAGTGCTCAAACTTTCTCATACCCTCCATAACTAGACGATCTGTCATTCTATTTTGAATACTTGATACATATATATGTTAACCAGAGTAATAATTAGAGACGAAATTCGAAACTTGAGAAAAATAAAAGAAGAAATTAAATTCTTTAAAAAAATAAGAAAAAAAGGAAGATAAAATACTCTTTTTATTTTTGATCTTGTGATTGGAATTAGTTGAAGCTTGTCACTACACAGTTTCCTTAAGACATATTTTCGTCCACCTTTTTGGTGTTGGAGATCCTTTGGTCGTCTGTCTCCTAAGATACAACAACTAGATGATCAGCGAAAAGTTGGACAAACTTTTGAGATCACGAGCTATCCTTGCCTTCGACTATCACCGGAAAACTAAGAAGAAGAGAAAATACTTTTTAAGGAAAAAAGTTCTTAAATTTTGAGATGTGTTCAACCTAGAATGTTATCATTCTATTTATAGGGAATTCTCAAAGGAGAATTTACTAAAAATAGTGTTATTCATTTATATTTAAACTCTAAAAGATAATATCTTTTAATTATCTTTTAATTTGAAATCTCTCCTGGTATAGTCCTGATCAGGTTGGTAAATCCTTATGGACTTAAGGTAATATTCCCTTTGGTTCGCTTCTACGCTTCGATTAGGGTAAGTCCTTATGGACCTAAGATATCCCATTAGATTGCATGCTACGTCCAATGGGTCTAAGGTAATTTTTTATAGATGTAGTTCTAAGAAACTACATATCTATGTACGGTTGGATGGTAGTTAAGTATTTTTAATAAAAATCTTACAATCACAAATTTTGAAATTTGTTCGTATGATTTTATTATGCACTTACTATAACACATTGAGTTTTCTAGCTTACACTCTAACTTTTCTTTTTCAGATATTTTTAGGTAATCATCTCAGACTTGATACTCTTATGATTGACACATCTCCTATAATAATTTTCGAAAATTTAACAATCTCAGGTGAATATCCGAAAATAGTGAACACACGGAAAGGCAAAACCCAGGCGGCAATTTGGGCCATAAAAAAAAATGCCGTCCCAAATGGAGGTCAAGCGTCCCGTTAAAGTCGTCACTATTTCGTCGCTAGAAAAGTCTCGTTTTCGTTCGTTGAAACTGGATATTGGAGGGAGCGCATTTTCCAAAAATATCCAAATGGTTTTGAAAAAATTATGAGAAATTATATATTACTAGATTTCATTTCCATTTCTCTCATGGTCGAAACTCATACAGATTCAGGCCATCCAAACTGAGAAACTATGACCCAGATTGCCCCCAATATGGCTAAAAACAACTTTAGGCTCAGCCTCCAGCGTCGCTTTTTCCTTCTGCGACGGTGCTTTTCTTGTTCTTATGACAGTTCTACACCGTCGGAGATCCTTAACACCACGTCGCCGCCTGCGTGCCATCAGAGCGGCAACGAAGATCATAAGGACTCGGATTTGGTTCCGTTGAAGATCAGCCTCTTGGGTGATCCTCAGATTGGAAAAACTAGTTTTCTGGTTAGTTTCAAAGGCTAAATCTATAAATGTTAACCAACTATTGCTTTTTCTTTATAATTTTTATTGTTAATCAAATGTATATCTTTTCTTGAAGGCGAAATATATTGGTGATGAGAAAGATGAACAAGAAGACAATCACGAGAAAGGGTTGAATTTGATGGATAAAACATTTGTTGTAGAAGGAGCTAGAATATATTACAGTATCTGGGAAGTTGATGGTATGCCATTCTTTTAATTATATTTTATGCGTGTATGTATATATTAAACAAACCATATATATATAACTGAGAACTTGCTTATTTAACTCTTTTAAATTCGAAATGCAGGAGCTGAGAAATCCCAGAACCACATTCCCCTGGCCTGCCAAGATTCTGTGGCAATTCTTTTCATGTTTGATCTAACCAGCAGATGTACTTTAAACAAGTATGATCATCAACCATCAACTCCAATTACGACTTAAATTGGGGTACCATGATTTATTAAATTCACCTCTCTTAAAATTTTAGAAGTTTATCCCCAACGTAAAATTCTACCTCTGTTTCTTGTTGCGGTGAATATTTGCATCAAATTTGAATATGTTCTTGAACTTTGAAATCTGGGTGGTACTCTAAATTGATGGAGTCCTTTTATATTTTATGGATGCAGTGTCATAAGCTGGTATCAAGAAGCAAGGAAATGGAATCAGGTTTCTGATATTTTCCTCTGCTTTTTATCATTTACCATCGTTGAAAACTTCATTGTATACTGATAATGCAAAATTTCGATTACGCAGACGGCAATACTGATTTTGATAGGAACCAAATTTGATGATTTCATCCAACTCCCTATTGATTTGCAGTTCACAATAGCCAGTCAAGTAAATTGGTTTTTACCATTCAAAATTTTCAAAGCAAACTCCCCTTGTTTAATAGAATTTTTTAAGAAGAATGAACAACAGGCATGGTATTATTGCTTCAAGATCAGATCTTATTGATGTTTTCTCATTGATATTCATTTGTTCTTTTGGTTAGGCAAGAGCATATGCGAAGGCCATAAATGCTACACTATTCTTTTCAAGTGCTGCATACAACATCAACGTGAACAAGATCTTCAAATTCGTTACGACCAAGCTCTTTGATTTGCCATGGACAATTGAACGAAATCTTACCATCGGAGAACCCATCATTGATTTCTAATATTTCTCTCTACATACACAAGAACAAGCTGCCCATATTTACAAAAGAGATTCCTCCTAAGCCAACCGCTCACCAGATGTTTTTTTTTTTTTTTTATATTGTGGTCTAGCGATGTTTCGAGTTGTTTGATGGAGCAGTACTGTTGTGGACACCCCCATATTCCCTATAAAAAAAACTATAGGGAACAAAGATAATTGTAAATAAAAAAAACCATGAAATGCTGCAATGGGCTAACCATTTTTAAGTCCTTGTATTCATGGAAGTATGATTCTGACTTGCCGTGATATAATTATAATTAATTTGTTTTTTGGTACATTTTTAGTAAAAAAAAATTCACAAGTTATTCAGATGATTTCAACTATATTTCTAAATATATTTTAAAAAATTAATAATAAGACAATTAATATTATTTGGATATTGTTCGTGAAATTATTGTTATTTTTTATTGATAGCTTATCCAATAAAAATCCCAAGCAATGGTTGATCGTTCTTCCTTCTGGCCTCCAAGAGCTTTGCCTTGTACAGACTATAGTCCTCGACCGCTCTTCCTAGTTTAATAGTTAAGTGTCGACCCTGATTTTTGCCCCGACGGGGAAAAACTTGTACTGATGTATCTTTACTTTATTTGTGAAAAATTCAAATTGGTGGAGAAATATTTTGGAGTCTCCATCGATCTTTTGGGATAGGTAGATCGAATACCTAAAAATTGTCTTTTCAAATAGTTTTTAAGGAAACATCATTTTAAAAGATAAACAAGTTTACATGTAACCAGAAATTTATTTTTTGAATAAAAAAGGGTTTGGGAGTCGATTACGTGTGGGGAATGATCAACACCCCCACAAAGTCCAAAATTGGTACTCCATCGATTATAAATTATCTCTAATATTGGAAATCTAATAATTCAAATATAAATTTAAGTTACGATTCTATTATTATAAATTCAACCATACAATTTTTATTTAACAGAAAATTCTAAGGAGAAATAAAAAATATTCCAATATTTCCAATGGAAGAGAAAATAATCCCCAAAATACTTTAGGACGAATATTTATCTTTCCAACTTAAATAAAAAGAATATAATAAATTCCACCAAGAATTCGAGATTAAAAATAATTTGATTCGACCAAAATAAAAATTTAAGCCAAATTTAATTAATCATGCTAGATGATGAAAGTTTAAACTTGAATAACAAAATTATAAACACAATAAAATGCAAAGGCCCACAAATAAGTATCACACAAATATAAGTGCTTTAATCAAATAAAATCATAAATAACATAAGGACCAAAATACAAGATAGAAAAATAAGACATTCAATGTGATAAAAATATGAAACATGCATATATATATATATATATTCATGGGACTAAAGTAAAATAAACAGGAACTAGAGTGCAATAATTAAAGGACTAAAATTAAATTGCTGAAAAAATAAGGGACCAAAATGTAATAAACAAAAAATAGTTGATCAAATCAGAAATAAGTAGTGACCAAAATGCGTAAATTGAAAGGATAGTAGCCAAATCAGAAATAATAGTGACTAAAATGCATAAAATAAAAGAATAGTGGCCAAATCAGAAATAAACAGTGACTAAGATGCATAAATTAAAATACAACACAAAAAAAGCAGAACACATCAAGTGACTAAAATAAAATAAAAACAAAATTCAGTGGCCAATTTCAAATAAATGGAAAAATAAAATAGTGACTAAATTAGAATAAAATTAAAAAAAATGATAAAATGCAATAAATTAGAAAATGGAGGTCCAGTGACCAAAATGAAAAAACACGATAAACATAGGGGGCCTGTAAGAAAATAAGCCAAAATGTCAATATAAGAACATTAAAATGGTAAAATATCATAATAAGAACAAAATATTTAAAAATAAGTAAAATAAATTGAAATGGGGGACCAAAATGAAAACGAGAGAAAATTGAAGTGTCTACGCGTGTTATTTGACCCTAGAAGCCCTAAACACACCATTTGGTGCCAAAACTACGTCGTTTCATAGGGGTTCAGGCACACGCCATTGTTTCGTTTATAAATACTCCTTTTTTGTTTTTTTTCTTTCATTTTCTCTTTTTCACTCTCTCTCTTCCTCCTCAATCCTCCCTGTTCTCTTTTCTATCTAGGGTCGGCGATGAGAGCCGCCACTGACTGTCGCATCGGCCACCGCGTCATCGCCGTCGTCGGTGGCCATTCGAGCCTAAATTTTAAGGGCATGCTCGCCTCGATGCGGTGGTCTCGGATCGGGGCTCGGTTTCACATGAAAATGGCCTCCAACGCCATGAAACAAGGCTGAGACCCTTCGGCTTCCAATGCTCCAATCTACCTTCTCCGCCGTTGAATCGATCCGATCTTGAAGTATGATGTTCCCCTCCTCCAAATGCTTCTCCTCACCGTTCGAATTTAGCGATGGAGGCTCCGAAAGTCGGCGAATCCTTCGGCCGGGAGGTAACTTCTTCTTTCTTCTTATTCTTTTTTCATTATTTCAAAGAAAAATATACAAAATATATAGAAAGTTTTTTTTATTGCTTTCGAAATGGAGGGCCTCCCTTTACATTGTTGTGTGCTTTGGGTTTATATCACTCATATTACAAATTAAAAAAAAATCCAAAAGAAATCCCCTATCTGATTTGGGCATTGTTGGAGCAGTTTGCAGGGAATGGAGATGGCATGGTGGTGGCCTGAACCGGGTGGTAGGGTATGGGAGGCCCGGATTTCACGGGATGGCTTACTGTTTTCTCTTCCTCTTTTTTTATTATTTTATTTATTTATTATATGGTGGTAAAAATTGGTGATTACATTAAGGTTGCACAAAAGCGACCCCAAAAACTAGTCTACGGCAAATGATTATGAAATGAATTCAATAAATTTAAATTTGAAAAAAATTGAGTTTAAGAAAAATCGAGTTTAACAGAATTTGACCCTAAAGCTTTAATATCAGACAACTAGTCTGAGTTCGAGATGAAATAAAACTAAAGATATTTATATCATTAATAAAATAAAATAAAAATATTTATAACATAATAAAATATATACATTAAATTTAATATTTTATTATAAAAAATAATGATAAACAATAAAAATGAAAAAAACGACATTGTCTTGTAATGCTTTATTCGGTAATGAGTTATATAGGATGGTGGTTGTCTGTTTTGCGTGAGATATATTCGTATAGATTGTTCTTTAACAGGATTGTCATCATTCTCATCAGCATCATCTTTAATATTGTTGGTATGAACTTGTGTTGTCGGCGTCAACAATTATGAATAATCTTGTAGTATAACGAATACCGATGTGTACAATAAACAATCTCACCCTTAATAACAACTGTAAAAAATCAAGATAAATAAAATCATTGACTGAACTGAATAAAGTGAAAATGAATATTTTTCTTGAACATACATATGCACTCTTACCCATATATTACCGTCTCTAAATTTGTTAACGTAAACCTTATGCATACATGTTTTTTAAGGATGAATAATTTTTTTTTTTGGAGATAATATTCTTTTTAGAATAGCATTTTTATGTTTGATTTACGGAAAATATTATTACCGAGGAATAATCTTTTCTCAATAGTAATATTTTTATTTAAAATTGTGGGAATTTCATTATCTCCAAATTTTTAGGTATTAGTAGGGATGGCAATGGGTCGGGTCGGGTCGGGTTTTTGGGCCACCCGACCCGACCCGAGAAGAAAGGGTTTTTCACCCGTGACCCGACCCGATCGGACGAAATTAAGGTTTCACCCGACCCGACCCGAATATATGACTTAGAAACCCGACCCGACCCGACCCGACCCGAAATAATAATAAAAAAAATTTTATTAAATGAAAACAGTGACTTAATTGAAAAAAATTATATATGGAGGGACATTATTGTAATTATCCCTAAATATATAGGATAAAATTATATATATTTTTCGGGTCGGGTCGGGTCGGATTTTTTTCACCCTAAACCCGACCCGACCAGTGCATTTAAAAAAAACCCGACCCGAACCCGAAATTTTTTTAAAAAAATCCGACCCGATCGGGTCGGGTCGGATCGGAACCCGTCGGATTCGGGTTGAGTTGCCATCCCTAGGTATTAGTCAATTTTTACCGTTTTGGTCAAGAATGCCCCTAGAATAATGAATTCTTTTTTATAATGATCATTTTCAATTTTTTTTGTACTTTACAAAAAATTATAAATATAATAATAATAATATACAAAGAGTTTAATTTAGTAAAATATTAATAAATTTGAGTATTTAAAATTATTTTATATTATTAATATTCAATATATTAATTATTTATTTATGAGGTAAAAAATAATATGATTGTAAAAATATAATTATTCAAAATAATATATAACTTTAAGCTATTAAAAATAAATCTTATACATTGAAAAATAATATTATTTTTTCATGTTATATTATATTTTATATAAATAAATATGATAGTTATAAAAATTATTTAGAAATATAAATTTAGTATACTAATTATATATTAGATGTATTTTTCTCAAAAGTTAGATAGTATAACGATTAAAATATTTGTATCAATTTTAAATCAAATATTTATAATTTAATATTAAAGTTCAATTTTTTAAATATTATATGTCACAGGGATAATTCGATAAAATATGTATTCAAGTAATCTTATATTCCTCCAACCAAACATTCTGATTTTACATTCTTGTTAAACAAATGAAACAAGGTAATACAACAGTCATGTAGTAATCTTACATTCTAGTAATGTTATTGTAGTTTCCCATTTTCGTCCGATGCTTATTTAGTATATATGATAATATAGTATAGTTTTTGAAAATACTTTTGAAAAACATACAATATATAGTTTTTAGAAAACGGTTTTTGAAAACATATAATATATACTTTTTTAAAAAATCGGTTTTTGAAAATATATATAATATGGTTTTGAAAAACAATTTTTGAAAACATATATTATATAGTTTCGAAAACAATTTTAAAAAATATATATTATATAGTTTTTAAAATAATTTTTGAATATATATATATTATAGTTTTGAAAACAATTTCTAAAAATATATACATTATATAGTTTTGAAAAACAATTTTTGAAAACATATATATTATATAGTTTTGAAAATAATTTTTAAAAGCATAAATAATATATAGTTTTAAAAATGAATTTTTCGAAAACAAATTATTTTTAGTTTTTATATATTATATTAATATTATTTATTTTTATTTGTTATTTTATTATTATTTTTTCTTTTCTCTCCCGATTTTTATTTTTCAAGTCCAAGAGTCCAATCTAATCCAAGGAGAAGCCCAACCGGGTAGACAGACCTAACCCAGCCAGCCAATCGGGGAAGCCCAAGCCACACTAGGGTTTCGTCATTAAGTCTAACGCCGCACAACAGGGAACCTTCAGATCAAGGCAAGGATCAACAGCAGAGATCAAAGGAAATATGGGTTCTTAAAAACCCTAAAAATATGATACATACACATATCAATCTGGTCCGTTGGATCTGACCTAATCCAACGGCCAGGAAGGCCCCATAATATTCTAAAATGCAGAATACCATAACATGCATACGGACAGCACGTGAAGACCACGCGCCGAAAAGAATATCATTCCTATATTTTTTTCCAACCGTGATTTCAAGGAAAACTTCCCAAAACATTGATCGAAGCAACAATCAACACAAAAATAGTCAACACACTCAAATCGAAACAAAATCGGGAGTAAGCATTTTCCCGAGATTCCTGATCAACATGAAAAAAATGAACCCGAGTAAATCGGGGATAAGGGAGACAACCTCCATCGAGGGGCTATATATAACTGCATCAAACAATCAGAAAGGGGAGTTTTTTTGGGAGGTCAATATTCGAAACCCACTGGAAAAAACATAAAAACCGAAGAAAGCATAAAGACAAGAAAAACTTAGCTTCGTTGCTAAGGAGGGTAAGAGTCACCGTCAAGACAAGCAAATGGCCGCTTAAGAACTGAAAGGTCGCTGGAGATAAAAGGTAAAAATGAGACATTTGGGTCTAGATCTACATCAAAGGGATTTGTTTTTGGTGATTCGATGTTCGGATTTGGGTTCTTGGGAGTGAGACGAGCATTGCTAGGTATCTTAGTGATCTCTAACCATCGTGGGCGGTGGGCGGTGGCCAGAGAGGTAGCAACGACGGTGGTTCGGCGAGGGAGCTTTGACTGGTGGGGAGAGTGTTTGAGAGAATTTTGAGAGAGGAAGGGAAAGTAATTTTAAGGGAAATGAGAAAATAAGATGAGAATTGGGGGGAGTAAGCATTTATATACGAGGGACTCGTGTGTAATTACAAGTTTCTTAAATCATTTCCGTAGTCCTCTAAGTTTTGAAGCGTAGTTCAATCCTATCACCATTTGTAATTTTACCTCCTAATTTTAATTTAATTTCAAATTTATCCTTTTTATTATTCTTATTCATTTTACTTTGGTGCCCTAATTTTGTTTTTTTGTTTTGCAGTATTATATATATTTAAATTATTTATTTTATTTTATTATTATTGTTATTATTATTATTATTTTAAATATTTTTAGAACTTCAATTAAATCATAAATGCTCATCAAAGGTAAGTAATTTGAACCGAATTTATAAATTTTAATTTAAATTTCAATTTTTGAAATTAAGATAACTGAAAAATTAAAATTGGCACCAAAAGGGTAGTGCAAGGGTGCTAATCCTTCCTTGACTGCAACCTACTCCTGAACCCGACATATTTCTAGTAAAATGCAGATCAAGTAAGATGATATTGAGGTGTCTGGTCAACCTAATTTTAAAAATAAAATGATCGGTGACGGCTCTAACATGATCAATTTAAGTCGAAGCCCGATTCTAGGCCCACCCGAATGACAGTTACAAGAGCTTGGCGACTCCGCTGGGGACAGTTAAGTGAGTCAGGCTAAAGTTAATTTTCGGTTGTCTTTTTAAGTGAAAATTACAAGTTTAAATTTTAATTTATTTATTCAATTCGTATTATTTATCTTTGATTATTTTTCAATTAAATAGTTGTAATCACGTTTTTTAGTGATTTCAGCTTTTTAAATTTTTATCTCAGACTCTATACCCGAGCTTCAAACCCTTTTATAAGTGGAGGTGAAAGCGACGCCTTCGTGAGAATCTATTCTCCGTATAGGCCTAGCAAGTAACCTTCGGGATTCATATACCTTATGTCTTCGTGTGAATTTATTTTTCATATAGACATAAGTGAATATGTCCTATGGAGTTTAACTTGGTCTACATAAGCTTGTAATGGGCTTAGGACTGAGGGTCTGGCAAGACCAAGGAGGCACCAGCAAGGAGAACTCATGTATATTCTTTAGAACCTAAACCGGGAGACTACAGGGAATTAGAGCCCACCCCGAAATTCCATTTCAAAACCTAGGATGCTCGAATTATTTCCTACTTTATTTATTGTTCAAAGCATGCAAACTAGAAAAATATGCGGTTAGGAATTGCTCAAAATTAAGCCAACATACGGGATAAAAATCATGTATGGGTAGGAATTAAAGCATGCTGGTTAGATATCATGCGGGGTAGGATTACTCTTTTTACTTTCAGTATTATTTTGATTATTATTTTACTAACTTGTTTCCATTTCATTTTTTTTCTTTCTTTTATCTTATCATTTGCATCATAAAAAAGAGGTGTTGATCCGTAAAAAGTGTTTGTTAAATACAAATAATCTGCATTAATGAACAAAGTGGTTGTAATACAAGAGGTGAAAAACGCAAAGGTCCGGCTATGGTCAGAAAAGACTCAGAAG